GATGGTTTGAGAGAGGGGTAAAAGAAGCCATTTTTGTCAACTTGGAAAAACCATCACTCAACAGAGGAGGTGGACTCAGACACAACCTATCACCAACATACAAAGCACTTTTAGGAACTATACCCAAAAGTTTCTCCTCAGTTTCACACAACAACCCATCAGACTCTTACTGACTGTTTACACTTTCACAGTTGACCCCAAGGCCCCACCCAACAGTGTGGAGCTGAAGTAGCTTTATTCTTTCTCACCTAGAGTATATATCTACTGTACTCCCCACCACCAGTTAGAACTGAAGAACCCTCTTGGATTAGAGGTGAAACGTCTTCTTTTAGAAAATTCACGTCCAGTTGCCTAACTGAACTTTTTAAACTTGACCATGACCTGGAGGACTGAGGATCTTCATAGACATTTTTCCTGGCAGTTATTCTTATATCTACAGACATCTAATTTTTATAGGTTTTTGAAAACATTGTCTTCTTGATCTGCCATTTTTGATCAAAATGGAGATGTGTGTTCTTTTGTCAAAGATTGCGTTAAGAACAAAAATACACAAAAAGAGACCAGACAATGGTGCATGTGTTGCGTCTGGAAGCTTCCTCTGATCACGCTCTGGTGAGTGTCCACTTGTGATTTGATGGAAACAAATTCAGATACAGAGGGCAGAGACTGATGTGTATTTTCTTTCCTGGCTTTCAAAGGCCTTGGAATAACCTTTAGAACATGTGGCTGACAGATTAGGTTACACAACAGGACGTGGGACACACGTCCCCAGAGGATTTCACATCAGGCAGAGTGAGTGTGCTGCTTCAGTGACAGTAGATTCTGTCTGGATTAGGTGAGGACTTTGGGACAGATCTTGTGGGTGTGTGTTCTGCATAGAGCACAGGAAAGAAGGAAGTGACATATCCACCAGCCCTATCTATTACGGGTGTCTGAGCCTCCTCTTCTCCCCTCTTTTCCTCTCCTCTCAGTGAAATCTCAGCTGTGGCAGTGACACCAGGGGTGAGTTGTTTCCATGCTAATTCAGCCTGCTGAGAAGCATGGGAGAGAGACCAAGTGAGCCTTTCACAGTGCAATGGCTCTTTATTATGCTACCATACCCTTGTTTTTGAAGTGAAAAGGGATAGAGAGGGGGGGGGGGGGGAAGGGGTACAGGCAGGGGTGCATCTAAATTTGATGTAACACTGAAGCTGCTCCACAGGTCTAATTAACATAACTATTGACTGTGCAGTGGTTTTAAAACGTACGTTTCGTTAATTTATGGGGTGTGAACCTATACAATACTTTCTGCTCATTGAAGCCTTCTTTTCTCCTTTTCTGCCTCAGGTCCTTCGCACTCATGTGATGGTGCGTGTTGGAGGGGGCTGGGACACATTAGAGCACTATTTGGACAAGCATGATCCGTGTCGCTGTGCTGCTTTTGGTGAGTTCACTTTCTGTTCCCTGATCGACAGGCCTTTGAAGACAGCATCATTGTGGTGGTTTCCAATTTCATGTACATGTAAACATTGAGACAGTGTTTAAAGAAACGGTATTTGTCATTTAATCTTAAGATTCTAGAATGCTAAATTCTTCCTTTTTTTAGTTTATCTTTTGTCTTCTTTTCCTATTCTCATATCACACCGCAACAGTCAGTCTGAGCGTTGACATTCTCACATCTAGCTGCTAATTTAGGTTGAGAAAAAAGTTGCAAGTTAAGCAGTCACACTGACTTTGATCCAAAACATATCCGTGAAGCAGTTTCTCTTGACACCACTAAACTATCTGAGCCTAACTGTGCAGTTTTAATTGAACTGTAATACACAATACCTTAAGTAATGGCTTTTTACAAGGGAGTAATTTTTGACACATGTTATCTTTCTGTTGTTTAAAAAAAACTTTGCAAAAAGAGAGATAAGCAGATAATTTGAAATAAACCTCAATACCAAAAACACAACGAACTATGCTGGCCAAATGAAGTGAACATGTTGATAACACAATGCTTAAAAACATCCTTAGGAAAGACATATAACTTTACTGTTATATCAATTTCCAAGAAACAGGAAAGAGCTAACGTTACTTTTTCCTCTGTTTGCTTAGCAGTGGTCTGTGTAAAAGGCAGAACTAACTTTCTACCTTCAATATAAAAGTAAGCAATGATAAAAACATACAAATTAAAAAAGAAGAAAAGATAATACATTCTATTTATAGTCCAAAATTCTGATGATTTTTATTTAAATTTAATATTCAAAATAACAGTTTGTCCAACCCTTTATTCATTGACATATAAGTGATGTTTTTACTGGATTTTTCCACTGAGTGTCTTACTCCATAGTGAATCACACAGTGCTACCACAGTATTAAAGCTGTGCATCAACAGGGGTTAATGCCCTCTACCATCACAGGAACTTAACAGATGACCTGCGGATTTTAATGAACTAGTGATTTTTAGTTATTAAAAATAAATAAAACATTATATATGTAACATTTTATTTCGGTAATATTTGAGAGGAAACTTGATGTCTTATTGTACATTTCTGAACTTCAGACAGACTTTTATAAATATGTGATTGTAGAGGGTTAGAATGGCATCTTAACTTTTACATCTTTAACCTGTCTTCACAGCTCATCGTTACCACCAGGCCAAGGCCAGCAGCCAAGGTCAGGGCACCCAGAGCAAGTCCTCGAGTGCCCACTCTTCTCGGTCTGCCAGCCCAGGTCCACACTGGAGGAATGAAGGGATTGCACCTTACAAGACCCCAGACAGACGCACCACAGAGCTGTCATCTTCTCAGTGTAGCTCCGCTTCATCCACAAGGACTGGAAGATCCCAAAGCAGTGTCGTTCAGTCAGAACCCGACTCTGTTGCTGCCCGTACTGTACTTCCACAGCCACAGAGAGATCGTTCAGAAACTCGTCACATTAATCCTCTGAGGTAAATGTGGGTTCTATTACAAGTGGATGGGTGTGTTACCATGTTAAAAGAAATTAACCTTTCATGTGTAGATTGATAGGGGAGTATTAGTGTTTATCGTTTTCTTTTTTGTGCCAAAACACACACAAACACACATTCAGATGCCAGGAAGCCTCACATTAAAGCAGATTAGATTGAACTATGTATTTTCAGGAGACGTTTCCTGTTAAATCCATCTGTAACTCAGAGATCCTACAGCACCCCCTAGTGGCTCAATACGATAATTCTGAGACGTTATCTGAAACTTTCACCACGTTTTTATTTCATTAATCGCAATATAGACTTTGATTTCAGACTGGAATCTATCGAGAGATGCTTTTCATTCAGTTTTTGCCTTTATTCTTTTAATCTGCTTTTTGGCCACAGATTAAAACTCGCAGTGGTCTTCTGTGATGTAATTTTAAAGTGAACGATTCAGTCGCTGGAAAAAAAGTGCTTGAATGAGGTCCAGAGTTTGTGACATGTTAATTTCTTTATAAATAACTTTCTAAAGGACAATTGCACATGTTTGAATTCTCCCTGAAGCTGGTAAAATGTCCACTCAGTCACACAGCTTTTCTGTATGTCAGAATGTGAACGCACCACTGTTTAAGACTCCTAAGTAATGAAGCCTGGTTTATATTGGCTTACATCCAGCATGTGGCTCCCTTTCTTTATTGAGCGAGGATGGCTCTGAGCTCACGTCAGACAGACAGCTCATTTAATTTAACCCCATGTGGGTGAGGAGTGCCTTAGGAGTGCGCCAGACAAGATAAAGACTAATCTCACAAGTGTCTGTAGACAACTGTTTACAGATGAGTGGGGAAGTATGTCAACAGGTGGGAAACAAGCAGACAAATTGGCCTGACTAAATATAAACTCATTTAATTTTTCAGGGATAACATAAGAGTTAAGATCCACTGGTTTAATGAAAGCAAAATGCCATTGTTGTCCCCAGAGTGTGTCCTGGGAGGTGAGGTTTTAGTTGCATCTTTATAATAATAAAAAATAAAAATATAATTATAATATAAAATAATATAATTATAATTGTAGATCATCACCATCATAATATGTTGCATAAACATATTAGCAAAAGCACCTTATTTCTTTCTCTGTAGAACACCAGAGTTAAAGCTGGTCTACCAGACAATATTATTATGTGTTTGTTACTGAAAACATCTACAAGGACCTGTGCTATTTTTAGTAAATCATTGAACCAACAAATTATTATCTCTCGTCTTTTTACATTTTCCTGAGTGAATCTCAAATGGATCAATAAAGTTTTATCTGATCTCATCTATTCGTCTAGCCACACGTTGCTGGTTCCAAACCCAGATAAGTAGAAAAGGTCATGTCAGAAAGGGCAGACTTCCAAAATCACTGGGAGGATAACTTGCTTTGCAAAGACCTGCAACATTCTTACTGAGTAATGTTTAATGTTCCTTCAACCTTCAACAGTTCTTTTTGAGCAGGAAGTCTGACATCGTTCACTTACAGGATATCCTTAACCTCTGTGTGAGTCAGCTACACAAGATGCCAGATCTATCATATACACAGAGACCTGTTCCATTAAATCTTACCAGTTTTACGTGTCCCTTTTCTTCCTAATGGTCATTCCATACACCATTTTAAATATACTTGACTGTTGCAAAGGTCTTTTTAATGTATTAAATTAACTGGAATATATTCTTAATACTCAACTAAAGCATACTTATAATAGAATAGTAAATTTAACCCTGGGTACTGCCTTTTGCCTTCTGAGGGAGGCAGTTTAAGTCTGTCCTGCCTTGATGTAGGTAAACCAATTACACAGTTAAACCTGAGGATCCCATTGGTGCGTGACACTGGAGTGTTGTCTGATTGAGTCAGAGCAGTGATTTGCGTGGGGTTAGAAATTGTACATGACATCTAATCCTTCCTCCCGTTACTCTTATCTTTTTTAATCTGCCTGGCTGTAGCTGTCCTTTGCTTCAAACAAACACACTCGCTTTGTCCACGAGAAGTGGAAACATTCCGTACACACAATCTTTTACATCATGCAATTCATGTGAAGTCACTGCAGTATGTGCTATTAATGATGAATTTGTTGAAGTTGAACCTTCACATTTGTTTCCAGATGGGCTGGCAGATTGGTTGGAATAATAATTTAAAGCAAATTAGACTAATTTACATGAAATTACTCTATGTCTCTTCTCACAATCCTAGGACTAAGGAGACAAAGTTGTCATTAACGAGACGCCTGTCTGGAGACAGTGACTCCTCCACAGCTTCATCAAAGGGGGGAGGAGGAGGACGATATTCCCTTGGTGGTGCCTCGCGCCGCTCTGGTGAAGAGGTGATACTGCTCGTCAACCGCAAAGACGGGAAGCATGCAATTGAGAGAGGTGGAGCAGGAAATCCAACCCAATCCCTGCGCCCTTCACAGCTCCGTGCTCGCAGCCATTCTCGTGAACGTTCTGCATTAACTCCCACAGTAAAACCAAACCCACCATCAGGATCCTCTGATGGTACGAGGACAACTCGTGGAGAGAGAGGGCGCTCTCTGGGGAATGAGGGCCCCAGAAGGCTCCATGTTCCACGCTCCCACAGCCAAAGTAAGTTACAGAGTCGCACTCGCTCCAGTGATGCCAGTCCTGGGCCCATATCTCTTTACAAAGAACCCCAGCCCCCACAATCAGATAAGCGAGAGGGACTACGGGCCAAACAAGTGATGCCATCTTCTCCCAGAGTAGGTGGTGGGTTCTCAAAAAGACAGTCGTCCTCATGCTCTAACTCCCCACTTAAAGGTGTCCAGAGCAACAACAGCCCCACCAAAAAAAACATAACAACTCCCAGACCCCCAGCCACTTGTTCCCCCTCCGTAGGCAGAAGCAAACTACCACCAGTAACGTCAGGAGGTCGGTGGTCACCACACTCATCTCCACACACCCCTCGTCGCCAGGTCGCTCAATCCACTCGGATATCACAGGGCTCTCGTTCCGTTGGACGAGGCAACCATTCCAACTGGCCTAACAACCCTGAGCATGTAGAACCAGAAGAGGAAGGACTAGGCTTTGGTTTTCAATTGTTTCCAATGCTGGACGCCCAGAGAGAGCAGGACTTGTACCGAAGCTTTGAGGCTGAATTTTTAGCTAATACAAAGCAGGCAAAAGTAGTATCTAATAAAACAGCAGGAGGAGGAGTGACTGTGCAGAGAGATAGGACATTTAATCCCAGTATCACAGACTCGGCTTATTCCTCCTCTAACTCGCCTGTTCCCTCCCAAAATGTGGGAGCAAAGATGGGAACTCTGCCTGAACTAAGGGAGTCCAAGAGAACTCATCATTGTTACCTCCAACTCGATGACCCACTCAATTTACTGTATATACACAATATAGAAGGACCAACCCTTGGTCATCAAGGAAAACCTGTGCACTGGGGGGAGAATGGAGGAGGCTTCAAGAAACTCCCAGCTATTTCTAGCCCTGTTGAAGAAAAGGAGGTCCCAACTTCCCTGCTGGGCATTGGTGATACTGAGAAACTCTTGGTAAATAATCAGTTCTCTGCTGAATCTGTGTTTCGCTGTAGGACTATGAATGGAGACCATAGAGAGGATCCTTCAACAGGTGGGCTGTCAGATCAACAGGTTCAACCTGGATGGAACACTGGGCCAGAAGGAGATGTTTCACTGGAGAATCACCAGTCAAACCTTTCATTTGACCAGGAAAATGGTGGAGGGAGTGATGACCTTCCACTTCCAAAGACGTGTCTGTCCCCTGTACCTCTTCCCATTTCTGAAGACTGCTCTCTTCAAGATTCCTCCAGTGAAAACTCTTCCATGTGCTTTAGTTTGAGTGAATCCCACTCAGAGTCTCCTCCTCCAACATCACCTCTGGCCAATGGAGACACAGATGGAGAAATGTTGCAGACCAAGAAAAACCAGAAGAAAGCAAACAGGGCAATCCCAGTCTCTAAGCACAAACTGAAATCCAGAATGAAGATCCGCACTGACAATAGGGCAGAAAAAAGCCCCTCTCGTATCCCTACGCCTGTCAGCTACAAGGATCTGCAGCCTCACAACCCTCTCTCGCCTTGTCACACTCCACCTCTGTCCCCACAGACCTCTCGTTCTATTGGTCATCCAACCACATGCAAGACCCTGCACCAAGCTTACGCAGAAATGATCCATCCTCACCCGCATTCCCCAGTCTTGGGCCACGAAGCCTGCTCCTACCGCAGACGGTCAGGAAGCCTGGATAATGAAGCCTGGATGTAGCACAATGCTGCCACATGACATGTGGGAGAGTTGTTGAAATGTGACTACTGTGTAAAAAGACTGGGCTGAATACTGTTCCCATTGTGTCTTTTTCATTTTCATTGCACAGCACTCCTTTTTGCTCAGTTTGTTTTCTGAATATCTGGACCCGGTGGGTCACATTTGCTTTTATTTTGCACATAAACCAAATTATTTATTACCAAAGGCATGGTGTTCAATACTACTTTTCCTGTTTTAATGAGTGCATGAGGTTGCTTCTGGTAGTTAGGAGTTTTTAGACATTGATATTCAAAACAACCATTTTATAGCTTACTTAAAACTGAGGAGTATCTATGGATCTATTCCTTGCAGTGTGTGCTAGGAATGCATTTTGAATATCCCGGCCTATAAGTTAGGTGTGTTGTTCAAGTAACCTGTTTAACACGAGTCCAACCCTTTTCTTCACTAGAACAAATACTACATTTAACTTTGGAGACTGGTGCGTCCTGAGTAGAAGTAGAGCATCTCATTAACAGACACACCTGACTAAGAGCACCGCTACACTAACTCGGTTCCTATTTTTCCAAAACTTTGCTAAAAAAAATCTCTAGATTTATTACATAAGAAATGAAGGCTTAATAATATATGTTTTGGCACAAATGAGTTTGGAACAAAACAAAAAATGTTTTTTAATCATTATTTTATACCTTACAGAAGTTTGGCTATTGCCCTGAAGCTGGTCATAAAGACTTCTACCGCGCTGGGTCTTTTGAGAAAATCACTATTTTATGGTTCTATGTCTAAACTATGTAAATGATTAGCTTCCTCTTGTGGTCTGTCACAGCATTTTTCTTGGCTTAAAATTATTGATATTAAGACTACACTATCTGTGTCCACGTTAATTGTCCTCCTTACCAGCTCACTATATTTACTACTAGAATGACAGTACAGTACAGCTGTTCAGACAGCCATCATTGTAAGCATGACATGCACTACCACCTCCATGCAGCTCTCTGATGTAATGTACAATATCTGCTCTCTGTACACAAATTTAATTCAGTTTAAATATTTAAAATGTTTAACAGATAGCCTGTAAGGTTACGTTTAATAACAAAAATAACATGTCATCCTCTGTATCTGGATTGAAACATATCAGGAGTCAGTGGCAGTGGTATTAGTTTGTGTCAGTGTCACTTAAACAGATCCTTCATTACAACACTAAAAACATAAATGTACAAATCAAAAAGTTAAAAGAATGAACCTGTGACCAGAATGTTGAAGTTGTGTGGATGATGTGTGTATGTGTCTCTTGAAAAAGAAAAACATTGGAAATACAGTTAAATGTACATGTCACACTGTATTTAAGTTCTGTGCTGCCTTAGCTATGCAATATAGGGGTTGGAAATGCCTTGACGATTGCCCTCGCCTTAAGATTTTATTTGCAGTTAATTTAAAATGTTAATGTTTTTGCCACTAGACATATTGGATAATGTTACTTTTTTCAGTTATAAACTGTTGAAAAGAAAATGTGTTACAAATGCTGATGCTTTTATTTTGGAACACAAAACATGACCTTAGCAAATGGATTTTAAAGTCGTAGTGTAATATAATGTGTGGTGACATCTAGTGGTTATAGGCAAGACAAGGAGGAAAAAGAAAATAGAAAGTTGGCACACTAACCACTTATTTCCTTCTTTTAGAGAACCACGGTGTTGCAGATTATAACCTGTGTTGCCAATGACAAATATTAATGGTGTCTAATGACAGATGAGGAATGATTTTGACCTGAGTGACTACATGTAGTGAACAGGACATGAATAATAGATATTGTCGCTGGATATTCATACTAAAAATCCAGCTACAGAACTTCTGGTTTTAGTGCTTAACTGCTCTGGAATTCGTATTTTTGGGGGGTGAGGAAGTTGGTTGTGTGGTGTGTGACAGGCAGGTACCTTTACTTAAATTAACTTGTTACAGATTGTTACAGATATACAGTTTGTATATATGAAGATTGAGAATACCTACCAGGATTGTTGGTCTAATTTATTTATTTATGACAAATATGTCTTTTTGGGCTAAAGTGATATCTGTGTCTAAAGAGATGTGATTGACTAAGTGTGAATGACAAAGAAGGTTAATAAATGTGATTAGCATTTTATGTTAATTATTGCTCAACAGTTGAGTGTTAAAAAACAAACAAATGTTGTCAAATTACACCATTTCAAAAAAACAAACAATGCAGACAATCACAACATGTATTTGGCTACTGTAACAGAGAAATGTATTTGATACACACCAGAAACAATTGCTTCATTAAAAACATCCATCCATCCATTTTCATCCGCTTATCCGTTACCAGGTCCCGGGGGCAGCAGTCGCCACCCAAATCACATTGCAACATGTCAACTCCCCAAACCTTCCTGCGGGTGGTGAGTCCACTGGAAGGTATTAACCGCCCTAACCGGGATTCGAAAGACTCGAGACAGATTCGAGACATTGCCTCTGGGCCAAAGCGCCACTCATTAAGAACGTCTTAATAAAAATCAGTATTGTCAAGTTTTGTCACACATTGTATCAAATATCAGATTTGCAGACAAGAAAAACACTTTTGAACCAGTGACTAAATCACAAAATCAGGAGATTGTCATTAAGTTTGTCTTTATTCTGCAAAACCTTCCTCATTTTTGTAAAGGAAAAAAAAATCTGAATGTTGAAGATATGAAAGTTAATGTTACTTTTATTTAAATTTCAGTTAAAATGTACATATTGCTTGGTGGTGTTTTTTTATTTGTAAATTATGTATGAAATAGCAATATTGCAACATTTCATTGTTTTTAAAAAATGAAAGTGCTGTCAAGAGGTACTTGTAATAAATGCTTTGAATGAGTTCATGTTGGGAATTTGTAGTTTGTCCCTGGATGTAGAGCTGGTAGCTACAACATGTGAAAATACAGGCTGGTGGTCTGCCTGCTGGGCATTGCTGCCTGACGGTGAGGTTCCACAAAAGTTTCTGGACTGTTGGGCAATACTTATACGGTTTGTAAGGTAAGGCCTGGGGCTGAGGCTGCTCTTGATTTCCGGACAACTTCTGCGACCTCTCTGAGCTTAGGGAGAGCAGCATCGAATGGGAAAGATGGGTGGGCTGGGCGAGGAACATAACCAATAGATCCTAGCGGAGTTGATCTTGCTGGGTCGCTGTATTGCTCCCTGAAGTGTTCCTCCAGCTCAGATTTTGTGATCCCCAGCTTCCCGCTTCTCTTGTCCTCTAGAAGCTGTCTTGCATGCTTGAAGGGGTTTTTGAAGTAGTTGCTCCTCTCCTTTTCCTTCCGCCTCCTGCGTTTGCGCTCTGCCCTCCGCAGGCTGGCAAGGTTCTTCTTCAACTCCTCCCACAGTGGTTTCAGGCCCTCCTTCTCCTCTTCGCCTGCTTTCCTCCACTGCTTTTGGAGCTGACGCCGCCTCTTCACCAACTGCTTGATCTCCCTCTCCCTTCTTCCCTTCTGCCTTGGCCCAACGTTCTGTCTTACAGCCATTACTCCAAACCTGCCTTTACACTCCT